CATCCAATGATGGAGCTTCTTACCAATCAATGGTAAGATAGAAACATCTAAAGGAGGAGGAAAAGAACAATAACCTTTTGAGTAGGTAGGACGCTTGTAGTTGCTTGCTTACAAATCAAAACCATTTTCACACTTACACTTTCAAAACGCCTTCAAAAACAAACATCTCTTTGAACTATTTTCAAAACCAACAATTTGTATACATTCTTATAGAGACGAGAATCATTACAAAGTTTTCCGAAACAAAGATATTTTCAAAATACTTTCAAAATCCACCACAAACACATTTCAAACAAAGCAATTTTAAAAGTGATCTAGCAAGAAACTAAGAGCCCGTAGATAACTACGGATGAAAAGGGTGCTAATACATTCCCTTTTCATAACCTACCTTCCGAACTCAAGAAAATATCTCGAAAGGTATTTATTTTTCTTTTCACCCTTTCCTATATTGGATAAAAGAAAAGTCGGTGACGACTCTTGCTATCCGCAACATTTGCGATAGAACGCAAAACATCTGATTCAGTTCTCCCACCGTATGACACCGGGCCTCGAAAATAAAATTTGCCTCTAGGAGGTTTTTTATAACATTTTAAGCAACCTCCTATTTCTCGGGAGACTGCCTACATCGATGTTGTACTATTTCCCTAGCGGTTAGATCAATGGCCAGGTGGTGATAGGCGACCTCGGGGTTGAGTCCGGGAATCTCGGCGGCGCTCCATGCGAACAGGTATGCATTCTCCCTCAAGCAATCTTTGATCTACTTCCTCGCCAGGTCGGGGAGTCCGGTTTTGATCTTCACGCCTTTATGAGGTTCTTCACCGAGGGGGACAAACTCGAAGTCTCTGACCAGGATTGGTCAGAGGAGATCCTATTTTTTGTTGGGTGCTTCATCCTTATCGAAGTGGGTGTCCAGCGAAATGGAGTCGACCTTCGGCGGAGCTCTTTGTTCTTCTGTCTTGATGGGTAATGGCTCAGGTCGAGCAGTAGCAACTCTCTTAGCCGGTCAGGCCCTAGTAGATGGACGGTGGATGGTGGCGACGCGTCCCCTCTTCGTGTATAACGTCATCTTTAGATGGACAGTGGAGGGGACAGCAGTCAATTTGGCCAGTGTTGGTCTCCCTCAGATGCAGTTGTAGAGAGACGGACAGTCGATGACTAGAAATTGCACCTTAACCTTCTTGGCGTAGGTTTCCTCCCCAAAGTTGACGAAGAAATCCATGTACCCCCATGGTTTAGAGGTCGAGCCATTGAAGCCCTGCAGATCGGACCCCACATATGGTGAAAGGTGGGTGTCGTCGAAATTAGCCATCCTTGCCCTTGCCAGAAGAGGGATGCTCTAGTTAGGGACCCCTCCGGTAAACTCTTCGAGGTAGAACATGACCAACTGGAACCTTCCCTTGACCTTCTCGAAAGTTACCGCTTGAATTGGGGTTGTGTCGTCCAACTCGTCGAGCTTCTTCTTTGAGGAGTTTATGGAGATGTCGTTGAACCTTCCTCCATTTATAACCATGGCGGAAAGGAATTTTTACCACCTACTGTGCATGGACAAAAGTTCTTCTTCGTCTCTGTCAGGGATGTAGAAGTCATTCGGCCTTTTAACAGAGAAGGCTATTTAAATGGGGGCCGTCTTATCCGATGGTCGGGTGTCTTCCTCGAACTCTCTTGTTTCATAGGAATCCCAGTAAGGGGCGTCATTACAGCGATATTGCCTGAGCCTGCCACCCTTGATGAGGGTTTCAATGGCCTCTTTAAGATGGATGCAATCTTCAGTCAGATGCCCGTGGCTCTGGTGGTACTAATAGTATTTGCTCCTGTCAGCCCCAGGCTTTGCAGGGACAGATCAAAGACATATGACGTTGTCGTCCTTGAAGTCGATATTAGCACACTCCGCCAAGATGCGCTTGCGGGAAGCTGTTAGCCCCATGTGCTCACGGGGATCCCGTGGTTTGTCATCCCTTCTCTTCTCTCCCATTCATCGAGGAGGGGCTGCATCCTGGTGTCGCGGGGTGTTATTTGGTTCGCGGTTCCTTGGGTCGCGGGCTTTATTGGTCCCTTCCCTCTCCTTGTAGTCCATGCAGGCCCTATCCTTTACGAGGAGTACATCGAATGTATGAGGTGGTTCGATGTCGACGACCTTCCTGAACTTCGTGCCCGGGAGGAGTCCCCTCTCGAGCAGATACAGTTTCATGTAATCAGTAAAGGGGACCTGGATGGCCTCACGATTGAACCGATATATGAACTCCCTAAGGGTCTCGTCGCTTTATTGGACGATAACTTCGAGGGTGGCCTCAGTGTTCGGGTGTCGACGGGACGTTGTAAAGGAGATGATGAACTGGTTCTTCAGGTTCCTCCAAGAAGTGATCGACCCTGGGGGCAGATTTTTATACCAGTCCATCGCGGTTTTCCTCAATGTCGTGGGGAACAATCGACACTTGATCGGTCCCCCGACGTATGATAATGGAGCATTTCTTCGAACCCGTCGATGTGGTCGACTGGGTCGGCAATTCCAACATACTCCTTCAGTTAGGGAGGCTTTTCCACTCCTTTAGGAATGGGTGCCTCCATGATTGATTGTGATAAAGGACCACGGGGGTCGTCTTCGTCTCTCCTGTAGGGGGAGTAGGAAGGAAACCGGTTGTAGTGGCGGTCATAACCGTGTCCTTGGCCTCGGGGAGGATCCCTTGGTCGAGGATGTGTTTCTATATTACCCTTGTTTCTGTTTTCAAGGGAACATTGTTCTCTGCGTGGCGGGGTAAGGTCGCGTCTCCAAACATGCTAATCTAGCTTGTACGAGCCTTTCCCGCTAAGTTCTTTCAATTTCTGCATCAAAAGGAAAAATAGATGACGGATCTCCTCGCATACAAATATTAGAGACAAATTATGGTAACATAACAAAAACAATAACAATAAAACTGAAATAAAATTTTAGTTGACGAGCAACAAAATTTTAATTGAACTAAAACTAAAACTCTCTATTTTGATAGTCCCCGACAACAGCGCCAAAAACTTGATAGGAAAAATAGCAAGTGTACTATTTTTCCTCTTTAGTAATAACGAGGAAAGTTTCCCGAATGTCGATCTCAAGGACTGCATATAAATATCAAGTTTGAATTATTTTCAATTAAACAAAAACTAGAACTTTGGTTTGAATTTCAAGTAAATAATAATAATTGAGAATAAAGTGAGGAAATTGACTAAGTGGTTTTAACAAATATGAGTAACATGCTAGAGTAGGTGTGTGAATTAGCCCTATAACAATTCTGAATTAATATTGCAACAAATTATTTTCATAATCAATTACTGATTCTTAAGGGTGTTTACTCCTAAGTCCTTAGTGAGAAAACCTTTGATCGTTCATCCTAAACCCTAAGTCCTTAGAGAATTATGATGAAATCAAGCAATTGTGTTATTAAGAATACTCCGATTGATATAGGGTATCCCTAGTCCTAGGTGATATCTACTATAGCATAATCTCATAAAATCATTAACAACGATGATCCAACCTAATTTCTAATTGTAAATAAAACTCTGTTTATCAGATAAAGAAGCCACTAGAAACATTTGATAGATTAAACTAATAATGAAAAACAATATTCTTATTGCAATAAGAAATTCAAAGCCATTACAAGAATCAACTCAGGAACACCCCCTAGCATTGGGGGATTTAGCTACTCGTAGTATTCAAAGAAAACAAAATATAAAATTGAGATATTACAAGTATTTGGATGAATTTGAATCTTCAATCTTATCCGTTCATGAAAACTTCCATTCACCAAAATTCTTGAATTATCTAATCTTCTCTTAGGTCTTCTCTTCTCGAGTTGTCAAAAGTCCTCTAATTCCTCTTCAAAACTCATCTAAATAAAAAACATTCACTCATCTCAGTTAGAAATACCCAAACCACCCTTTCAGATCAAAATTTGAGTAAAATAAGAGAAAATACTGAAATCAGCATCACAAGCCGATATTGGCCATGTCAGGCAACACAGGAGCCCATGTTGCACCTCTGATATTTTAGAAATTCATGATGTCAGGATGACACGACCAGTGTCATCTGATATGGGAGGTCATGTTGGTTGACATCGCCAGTGTCAGTTAACACAGACGGCCGTGTCAGACCTCTTGAAGTGTGCAGGAAACTTTTCTGAATTCTTGCGATTTTTCCATGTTTTTGCTCCTATTCTTCTTGAATGCTTACATGAACTTAAAAACATTAAAGAGGCACAAACAACACATAAAATGTGGAAAATGGGAAATAAAGCGCTTAAAAATAATTCCATAATTAACTAGAATCAAAGGTAAATAAAGGTGTAAAAACATTGATCAGACTCGAATGTACATAAGTCCCTTAAACATGAGGCCTGTTAAGGGAAAAGCAATTTAGCAGAATATCCAGGATATGGGACCCGAATATACATAAGTCCCTCAAGTTTTAGGCTTGTTATGGGCGAAGAGATTTAGTAGACTATTCGGGATATGGGACCCAGGTGTACATAAGTCCCTCAAGCGCGAGGCCTGTTAAGGGCGAAGCGATTTAGCAGACTATCCGGGACATGGGACCTGATCTGGGACAAGGTGCTTTTTAGAGACAATTGACGAAGTTTTTAAATGTGAACTATACCCTCGTGTGTTGTGACCAATTGTTATATTTTTCTCTTTCCATCATGTGTACGATAAAGTGTGTGGACGTCTCTGCTCTGGCCATTTTTAATGTCGTCATTATTTTTCTGCGGGAAGCATACCAATTTGGTTTTAATGATGATTACTTTTATGGGAAGCATGCGTTATCATTAAGCCCTACTTACTAGGGATTGTTTTATGTAACTGTAGCTTTTACCGCCTTTAAATCTATTCCATTTCCAGGTTTTGGGTTTCTCTGCGTTGCCCTCTAAGTTCTTGCTACCACCTCATTGTTGCGTTTGAACTTCTAGTTTCCTTTCTCAGTTAATTCTTTTAAACTTTCTTCCTTGCTTACATTTATTTACTCTTTGATTGTTATAATGGTCGTTATTCGTGAGTGTCATACTTTGGGTAGAGTAGTGGTCCCTACAACTGAGTTAGAGCATCATCGATTATGGGACGAGTACGTTAATACTTTTAGGTCTATGTTTGGGAAAACTGATTGGGGTTTTATAAATGGGGAACTGTATGGTGACTTCGTCGACCTTACACTGTCTAGTGACACTGACTCAGTGTCTTCGTCCTCAAGTTTCAACGATACCTTTATGGAGATTTCCCACGAAACCTTTAATTAAGCTGTCATGAAGATTGATTTAATTTTCTTGAGTGACGATTATGTCGATTATTTCAAAGAAAGGGTATATATTTCCCGTACTGGTGATGAGAATGATGTTGTTGTAGAGCCATATGTTCAAGGCGAAAAGCTTTGTATGTACCGGCCTTCGGGGTCGTCTGATGAATACTTCTATTTTTATGAGGATGTGATGGAGATCCTCTGGGTTGGTTTTCCTTTAAAAAAAAATTCAAAGTGGACGTCTTATCAATCCTGAACGTTGCTCCATCGCATCTTCAACCCACCAGTTGGGGCATCGTCTGGGCGTTTGAAATTGTGTGTGACGCTTTAGGTGTGTCGCCTTCTCTAGGCGTGTTTTTCTCTTTTTATGAATTCAAAGGTGCTGGGAGTGGATGATGGTTTTCACTGGTGAGGCTTTCCAGTCGTGGCCCATTTCAGGCCTATTCCTCAAATTTTAAGAATAACAAGGATAAGTTTATGAAGGTACGTGGCGGGGAACAATGTCCTTTGGTGCTGTATAATGACGAGGGTCCTATCATTATCCAATTTGGTGGATCCAAGAGCCCTTCTCTATTGGTGGTTATGACCCTAGTAAGCTGAAAAACTTTAAAAAGCTGGTGGTGGAGGCTTTTGATGCGTTTGAGGTTATGTGGGTCTGTGACATTTTAGGTTATGAGGAGGACCTAGTGAGTTTATGGAGTTTTTTAGGTAAATAGAATCTCGTTTTCATTTCTTCTTAATTTAAGGTGGGCTATTGTTTTAAACTCATTTCTATTTACTTTTTTTGTAGACAAGATGGTAGATTTTGAACTAAAGGTGATATGTCTTTGTTGGCGAAGGCCAAAGCACATAGTGGAGAAGGGAACGATGTGGGTAAGAGTGGTCCGTATGGGATCTTGATTTGCTCCCAAAAGAAGAAAGAGAATGGTGTTGAAGAAGTGATTACTCAGAGGGGGCCTATTTCGGTTGAAGCTCTGTCTCATCCTCCTCCGTCTAAGAAGAAGAATGTGGCCCATGGAAAACCGGCCGTCGAGTCCTCCAAGTTGGGTGGGGGTGATGAACTTGAGTGTTTCTTAGGTGGGTCCTCCATGGTTATGGTGGCAGGAGGTCTCCCACCCCAGTCTTCACCATTCAACTTCTAGGATTCCTCTTTCGATAACTTATGATTTATGTATGACTTCCTTGGTGGTAATGGTGATGTGGAAAATGCCAAAGTCGTGGGTGCTCAAAAACTGACCCAAACAATTGGCACCCATTAGTTGAAGGCCATAGTTATCATTCTATCTTTGTTTGAGGTCTATGACTCCTTTGAAAAGAATGAAGCGGAGCTGAAGAAAAAATTTCTGAGGTGAAAGAGCCACAAGATATGAAGGATGCAATTGTGGCATCCGCTAATGAACAGATGGCTGCTTTGCAAAAAGATCTACATGACCTTCGAGTGTCAAAAATGTTGGTAGAGGACGAGTTAGAGGCTGCCCATGGAGAGGTATCGAATATGAAGAACCAACTTGCTGAGAAGGAAAAATAAAAATACGAGCTTAGCGGAAAGCCAGAGTCCGCCAGATAGTTTGCCTTTTGGCTGGTTACAAAGGCTTTGAAAAGGCGAAGCAACATGTAATCTTTCCTCTACCTCAAAGTTGAATTTTCTGTGCTTCGGTATTTTAAGATTGTTTGGGATGGACATTTGGTGATGGAAGAAGAGTTGGAGGCTACTCCTGAGATGAGAGAGTCGTAAGCATCCCACCCTCCCTGGTTAAAGAAGTTGGTGGACAAGGTGGCCCACCCTTCTCTGAAGTCGGATTAGTGAACTATTTGTTTGTTTATTTATTTTATTGTGAGCCTGGAGTGTTCCTTTTGTTGTATGTGGGTGTTGTACCCCCAAAATTTTCCCTCTCATTCTACTCAAAACATACTCCTAGAGGTCCTCAATTGCTCAAGATTTACTAAGGATTGACCAGACAAATCCTCCTCATAAGACAATGAGCCTCAAACTAGGGTTTGTCTCCTCATCAATATGTTTGAGTTCCAAGGGTCCTAAATGTTTTCCATTTCCCTAATATGTTCTCAACAGCATCCATGCCAAGTTTCATGCCTTGCACAGGAAGTTTGCTCAGTCAACTGCTCAAATACCTGAAAATCAATTGTACTAGGACAAAAGTCAAATGTGACCCACATACAGGAAAACTTCAGTATTTTTGGTAAACATCAACATTTTGGAGTGATATCTATCATTTGATCATGGGTTGATCATGATTCCTCAAGGAATGCTCCTAATTCATCAAAACTTAAAAGTTGCTAAATTAGGGTTTCTATAGGAAAAGTCAACCAAACATTGACTAGGAATAACTTTCTCATACTTTGTCAGATATTTCTTATCCCAGGCTCATTATGAAGAGAATCCAATTCCCTACAATTCATATTCAGCCCTGAAGTTCAAGAAATGCACTCATGATAAGATATAAATTCAGACATTATAGGTCCTTTTCAAAAGTCAACAAAAACACCTTTTGGGTCAAAGCTTCTTACATGAACATGGAAGATCCAATGTAGATTAAACCAAATGGGTTATTTACAGGACATCTGAAGCTTTCTAAAAAGTCCAAAAACACCCTCTTAGGGTCAAAATTGAGAGAGATATGCATTGTCAAAGTTGGCCATTTTTGGAAATTTGCCCAAAGTCAACAATGCTCAAAATTGCATTTTATCCACATGGGGCCATCTTTTCCAGATGGAATCTCAGTCCTAGCATGGTCCACGACCTATGGGACCCTCCATGCCTTTTTCACTTATTTATTTCATTTATTTTGATTTTACTTATTTAAAATTCAAATTAAATCAAATTAAATCAAATCAATGGAATGAGATTTGATTTTGCATTGAATTATAGATCATTCAAGTTGTCTATAGCCAAGACAAAATCGTGCAAGCTCCAAAACAAGAGAAAATCTTCAAATTTGGAAATATTGGAATCAAAATTCAAGACCATCATATCTTTGATTCTTTCCAATTATATTGCCCTAATTTGATTCAGTACATATACACAAGTATCGTGAACCCTAAGGGAGAAGTTTTATGCGCAGCCTGCCTCCCTAAGAGCCAGAACAAAGTATCATTTTTTATCAAAAAAGTGCAGATTGGATTCTTCTCCCTAGGCCGTTTCAAGCCATTCTAAGGATCAAATCACATCCCTAGACACTCACTGAAGCTTTTGCAAGCATTCCCACGATCTGAAACCTGCAGAATCACGCCCACCCTTCATCACGGTTTGCCGATATTCTCAGTTTCGATTTCTCTGATTTTGGCATCATAAACATATTTTTGATTATATATCTTTGCTTGTTATCATGTTTACAACATGCTGGAATACTTTGATTGTAGTTTGAGTGCAGGTATAGGCATCTGCCATGGCTAGGGTTCTGGAGCTCCAATTTGGGGAACCCTAGTTTGAGGCAAAATTAGGCCAAATTAAGGGTTTATTCATGCTCAGGGGATTATTTCCAATCGATCCATGCCCTTGGTTGGGATTTATTTTGCTTGTGCTACGTTTTTTATTCTTACAGGTTTTTAGCCACGCACAAGAACTGTCACTATAGCCTATAGTGACGAATCCGTCTGTAGGTAAAATCCCAGTTTCTAAAACAACAGTTCTGGGAATAAGACAATTAGGTGGCAGATTCCTATTGGGAGATTTGAATCCACGCGCGTTTTTCTGGGCGCACTACTTTGTTTGGCTTATATTTTTATTTGTTTATTATATTAACAATTGAGTCTTCCAACACAGATGGCAAAGGGTAGGGTGTGCGTTGAAAACATCCTGGGTTCAATCCCAAGCGTACGCATTTTACATTTTCTCAATATTTTCCACAGGATCTAGCACGCAGCGTCCAAAGGGGAGTATCATGCAACTCAGGATCTAACCATCAGATTCATCTCCATCCAAGATCCAACATGCAGTAGGTGCAGTGCATAGTGGGCATCCAAGATCTAATGACACTGGATCAAACGCTAGCCTTGGGCCAGCTATTCTGAGCCTGGAGAATTTCATCCATACACCCCCAGAATTGCTTCCAACATCAGGTCCATCTCAATTTTTGTTTTAAATTTCTTTAACTTTTTTTGTTTTATTTATTTTTAATTGCTTTAAAAATCTTTTTTAATTAAATCTCAAAATCATAAAAACACAAATAATTAGAATTAGGTTTTTCCATAAAATATTTAATTCCATTAATTAATTAGGTTAATTAGGATAAATTAAATTCCTCTTTTCATAATTAATATTAATTAGAAATTAGGTTAATTTTCAAAATTAATTAATTTCTCAAAAAAATCCAAAATAAATAATTTTTTTCTTTATTCACTAAATTAAATATCTTTGAATTTAATTGTCAATTCCCCATATTTAATTTTGTCACGCGCATTTATTTATTCATTTTTCCAATTAATGTAATTGCTCCGAGTTTGTAATAGCTTTTAATTTAGGTTTATTATTGCTTTTATTTACTGTTTTCCCCATGTTTTTGATTATGTAATCCCCCCCCCCCAAGGCCTTGTAATAGCTATGTTTAAATTTCTCGCATTTTACTTTCCGTCATTGTAAACTGTTAGATGATTGATAATAGGATTGTGTACAAAAGGTCAATAATTTAAAATAGCAGAAAACCCTAAATGTGCAAAGATAATTGACTGAAAAACAAACACTTGCACATGCTCACTCCTAGGGTTTGCCCCAATTCGGTTGCCTTCGGTAAACGGTCATGAAGTATAGGAGTTTTAGTGGTTTCCCTCTAGTCCCAAAAGATAAAAAATGACCCATTCGAATGTTGCCTTGGAAAGGTCTTTAGGAATCTAGGGTAACTACTAAGGTTTCCTAACCATTTCTTTAGTGACCGTACTCGTCCCTTTCGGTTGTCCCTCAAACTCCAATGATGGAGCTACCTACTCCTTAATAGTAGAATAGCACTGTCTAGAGGAAATAAGAAAATGAACAGTCTTTTTCTAGTAGGTAGAAACTATTAAGTACTTGCTCAAAGCAATAAATCTTTTACACCATACACTTTCAAACAAACTTTTCAAACTAAAGTTTTCAAAACACTTTATCACACCCTTGAGGACTGATACAAGGGTTACCATAAAGTGAAACGCCGCATTAAGGCAAATTTCAAAACTTTTTAAAGCACACAAACACACAAAAGCAATTTAAGAATAAGCAAGTACCTCAGAGCCCATGGAAAACCATGGATAGAAATGTTGCTAGCACCTTCCCTTTCTATAATCTACCCCCCGTACTCAAAAACATCTCGAAAAAGGTATTTTATATTCTTTTTTCCTTTTCCTTTGTTGGATGAAATAAAAGACGGTGGTGACTCTTGCTTATCATACATTTGCGAACAAAAAACGCAAAACCAGTAGTAACAAAAAACAGTCAGTTCTGCCACCGTATCACAGAACTGGCGACTCTGCTTGGGGATATAATAAAGTGGGGTTTACCTTAGGATCTAGGTCATTCTTAATTGCTTCTTTGGCTTGTCTTGCTTGATTTACTTTTAAGGGTATTTGTTTGGGTTGTTTGGATCCTAAACCCGGATCGGGGAATTCCTTTTAGGTAAGTAGCAATAAACTGTGAGGGAGTTGTGCGGGGTATACCGACACAGTTGAAACAGTAGCTACATTGATGCGATACTTTGGTGTGTACTGGTAGCCCTTGAGTAATCAAGGAGAATATGGGGCCGCTGCGTGGTATCATAAAGCGTCAACTGACCTTAGCACCTTAATTGACCAACTTGGCTTTTAGGACGTAGTGAGATAGCCGTCTTTGGTGTAAACTCAAAGTCGGGTGATACTCGATGCTACACTCATTGAGGTTTGACTCTTGAGTTTTGTTTGGTGGAAATTCAATTGTCTATCAGAACTAAATTTGGGGGAAAGATCAGTGATATTGAGATCCCTTAGAACTCGATTACTATATTTAGGACAGGTTGAACCAATCCAACTTCAAGAGGGTATTACCTTAAGATCCATGCAAGCCTTAAACCTAAGGTCCCTGTGTGATTTGTTTGTGTTTTCTATATCTTCTATATCTGAGCATAATCATGACATCATAACATATCATATCATACTAACCATTTCAAGGATCCTTAGGGCT